TTTGGTCCCAGTCTTCTCCTTGTATTCTCATGTGGTGGGTGACATCATCAGCTTCTGAGCCTGGTGGCCCCTGGTCTCCCCACCTCCTAATACCACCATCTGTGGGAGTTAGGATTTCAGCATATGAATCTGGGAGGCACAAACCCTAAGCAACATTGGTCTTAAAGTAGTTGGATTTGTGCACGAGTCAGCAGAGCACGGCAGCACCTACCCTTGAAGACGCGCAGACAAGATCTGAGAGCTGGGCTCCCTAGGGAGACAGAGCCACTGCCTGAAGCAGCGGTGTGGGCGTCCCTCGGGGTGGCCTCCTGGGACCGGGCCCCACTGTCCACTGGCCAGTGAGAGAGCCTCACTGTGGGGAACATTGACCAGGGATTCACTGGAGAGTCCCAGAACCCAAATCCTATACCTCACTGCCATCCCCAGCAAGGCCTACGTTGGGTTGGCCTGGGTGGCCACTGGGAGAGGCCGGTGAAACGTGGCACCTGGCTGGTGAGGGCACAGTGGGCGCTCGGCATCTCCGCCCCCCACCCCCGTCTGAGAGTTACGGAGCCAGGGTTGCCCGTGTGCAGCTCGTTCAGAAAGAAGGATAGGCACAGAGCTTCTTACAAGGAAGCTAAACACCTTCAGTGTGTCGCTCAGAACGTGGACAGCTCTCCCCACTGATGTGTTTGGCCATGTACAGGGTTAGTCTTGATTTGGGGAGTCAGGTGGAGAAGAAGAATGTGCGAGAGGGAGTAGCCACCATGTGCAGGTGTCCTGGGTCTGATGGAAACCAGCAGAGCCAGAGGGAGCTTTGATCAGCCCAGCCAGGAAGGGGCCGGGGCCGGGGCCAGCAGCAGGTGGGAATTGGGGGGGAGAGTGTGCCTGTCACTTGAGTTGTGGCCCCTCTCAGTCTGGGGCAAAGTGTAGCTTCACAAAAACACTTTAGGATGTGAGTGGCTTTAACTTCCTGTTTAAAATTTGATTTCTTCTTTCTCCTTTTCCTTGTCCTGGGTTCCGAAAACCCAGTGGCAAAATGGAGAGAACATCTGAGTGAGCAACGTGAACGTTTATGTTGAGCTCAGCTCTTGCCAGATTCTGACGTTTACAGAGGGCAGGTGGGCCTGGCAAGGACTTCGGATGCAGACCCTTCCACATGTCCCTCTCCCATTACCCTGTGACAGCATCAGGTTGTCAGGCCCTTTGTGGGAAATGGTGATATCGTCAGGTTCTGAGCCTGGTGGTCCCTGGTCCCAGAGCTCCTCTCTCTCTCCTCCCACAGCAGAGTCCAGGCCCGGACAGTGCTCGTTGACTCTACGAAGCTGCAGGCGTCCACTGTCACCACTACCGCCCCCCAGCCCGGCTTTAGACTCGGTCCTGATGAGAATTTGAGAGAGTGTGGCCTTGCAGTTCTAGGCTAGTATCAGAAGCACTGCAAGACCCTGTCATTTGTTTAAAAAAGAAAAAAGGATTGTATAGGAAAGGACATGAACTCAGAAATTTTTAGCGTTTTAATAATATGGTCCTTCCAACCATTTTTAAGGCCTAATCTTTCCCTCCCCAAAAGCATCTCAGGTGGATTATGGTATTTGAAAGGCTGCAGTGTTTGACTTTCAAGGGATAAAACCAAGGAGATTCATGCAAAAGGTTCAAAATGACTAAATATGACCCAGGTGTATGAGTCCACATACTGAATTTAGCCAGGAGGTTCCTGAAGACATTGCAGGGTTTGGGTTTGGCAGGTTGGGTTCTCTGACAGAGCAGAGTGGGATTACCGGTCCAGCATGGGGGCTGGTTTTTCTTTGGGGGTGCCTGCGTCCCACTGTTCAGACATGGAAGATGGCGCTGGTTGGTCCTCAGGCCCTTCTCAAGGGAGGATGTGCCTGAGTTGGGCAACCTCGGCCGGAGGAATGCGGGGGTTGGTTTGGCCTGATCGGTGGTCCATGTTAGAATTACTGTGAACAGCCCGCGCAGCTCAGCTGAGTTAATCTAATGACTTTTTCTTTTGTCTGTTTTCTTCCTCCCATCTTCCCGTTTTTGTGTCTGTCTTCCGCTTTGATTCCGTAGTATAAATCTGTGTTTAGGTCCTACTCCCAGGATTTCGTGCCTCACAACCAAGCTTCCGTTCAACCTTTCCTTCCGTCTACCTCCTCTTCCTCTCCACATTTCCCACCCGTCCACCAGTCTCAGAGCTCTGACTTAGCGGGGCCAACCGTAGCCAGTCTGCCTCCCAGCACCGTGGACGGGCCTCTCTCATCTTCTCAGGAGAGCAACTTTCATGGGAGCACTGTCTGCCTTCCTTCCGAAACCTCTTTCACTGACTCGCCCCAGACGCCTTCGGTGAGAACTCCGCGCACACCCCCCTCCACGTGGGGCTGCCTGCTTTGAGAAACCGGTGCGGCTGTTCCCGAGGCCGTCGCCACCTGTCCCCGCACCCAGGCCCATTGCCGGTGCACGCCCCAGTGGCAACGGGGCACGATCCAGGTCCCCGGAAGGTCACAAGGTGCCATAGTAGCCTGTTTCCAGCAGCGGGAACCTTCCATACAGAGTTCCCGTCAGGTGGGGAATCTGATTTTCCAAAAACGATTGGTGACCGTTTGGAGACCGTCCTCATAAGGCTGAGACAGAGAGTGCTCCGGTTTTCTGTGGGGTCGTGTGTTAGGGAAAGCTGCCGACGCGCTAGGAAGACAGCTGCAGACGAGCTCGGACAGCGGTCAGGGCCAGTTGCGTGTGCGGTTGTGTGTGCTGGCGGAGAGCCTGCTGCCAGGCCGTGTCGCTCGTGGGGCCGTGGACGGGCTGGCAGGTGTCGACTGGGCGGTGCGGCCTCTGCCCCCGCGGCCCGCGGCCCTCCTCCTGCTGCGCCGGGAAGCCCGCAGGCCCCACAGCCGCAGCGCCTCCTGGGGCAGTTTGAATGGCCCTCGACCTCTTTGGAGAAGGTCTCGCAGGAAACTTGCGTCCCCCGTAACGCAGAGGCAAGAGGTGGCCGAAGCGCAGCCTTCTCGGGCCTGGGAAAAGCTTCCCGGGAGCGGCGAGGGCAGCTGCCGCCATCCGCTCCTCCTCCCCAGTGTCCTCCTCAGGGCCGGCCCGGCAGGCCGCTCTCTCTGAACCGTGCGGGGTGGCTGCGGGCCTGTCACATGTGCGTTTCCTCTCATCCTGTCTCCCCCAGAGTGAAAACACCAGTGAGGAGGCTGGTGAGGGTGAATACGTCAATCTGTATTCCTCAGGCCAGAGCAGCGAGGAGCTGGCTCGCTCTCGAGGCGTAAGTAACGTCAGGGCGGCCTCGTGCATGCGGCCGGGCCGGCCCTGCTTCTGCCTGGCCGGGAGCCCGCATGGCTCCGTGGGGAGAGGACGAGGCTCCCAGAGCAGGTCCTCCCCCGGCTTGCAGTACGTGTGGTGCGCTTCAGGCCTGGCCGGGGAGTCTTCTGGACATCCGCGGAGGCAGCATGGCGTAGGCCTGGCCACACATCGGTTGCTCTCCGGGGTTTCTTTCTAGTCTGCCTTGCTAGCCTTGAAGTCCATCTTCTGTCCCCAACCCAGAGGGCGGGAGCCTTCCCTCCCACACTGCCACGCTCCCGGGCCTTCGCCCCCTCACACTTGCCCCAGCACGCCCCTCCCCAACCGCGGGAACGGCTTCCTCAGAAGCTGGGCGGGTCTGGCCCGGAGCCCCCGCTGTGTCAACACACCTGCCGCCTGAGAGCGTAGAGAAACACCTGGTGTGGCCCCCCTTGGTCGACTTCTGTCCCAGCTCCATACGGCTGTTCTGCTGAGTGGTCAACTTCCCAGGTTTTGCTGCAGCAAAACGTGAGCAAGTTCAAAAGCTTCCAAAATAAGGAGTCCCTTGAGAGGAGGCGCCATGAGGACTCAAGTCCTCCCTGGTGACCAGCTCACAGGGCCCAGCTTGTTAAAAGTCTAGTCACTCCTTATACGAAGCCCACCAGGGGCACCCCCACAGGATCCTAGATGTCCACACAAGGCAAGCCCCACTGGAGACGTTTGCAAGTCCTAGAGCTCTGTGGATTTTCACTGCAATGGGATTCTGTCCACCGGAGACAGGAACCCAATCCCTGGAAGCTGCTTCTCCTCTGGTGTTTCCTCCTCCCCTGTCTCCTCTGGTGACCTGCGCCCCTGCATCACCCAGGTCCACCTCCACACAAGGAAGCTGTTCCCTAGCTGGCCTTCGTGGCTCTCCCTCCACCCGGGACCATGTTCAGTGCTGACTTGAACACCTCCGAGCACTCTCTCTGAGGATGATCTGTGTGTTCATGCCACCCTGCTCTCTCTTGTGGCCTCGGTGGCAGTCCAGGGGTGCCAGATCGCCGTGTCGTCACCAAGTGGGGTGGGCCCAGATTCCCAGGGCCAGGCCGCTGGAGGAGAGGGGGCTGCAGTCATGCACTCGAGCAGCTAGACCCCTTGGAACCCTAACTGGGAGGCACTTGACCACGGCAGTCCCGAGGACTGGTTTAACTAGGAAGTCAGCCAAGGCTTGCTGCACACTGGCAGGGCACCGTGGTTAGGGACACGGGTTTGGGGGCAGACGACCCTCGGCTTGAACGCAGGCTGCAGCCTTCTAGCCGTGTGGTCTTGGGCAGGGCCTTTAACCCCTCCCAGCCTGTGGCGGGGGTGGGAGGGGGCACTGTGATGCCAGCGAATGGACAGGGTCTTGGTCAGGGCCAGGTGAGAAGAGGTACTCGAAGCCCTTAGTGCAGTGCCTGGCTGAGCTTGGCTGAGTGGCGGCGACCCTGGCAGTCGTTTCTTCGAGGAGGTGCTTGGGATGGCTTCCTCTAGGTTGGCAGCTGACAGAGGTCCTAGGTAGGGGTACCTGTTATGTCCACAGAGGTGCGATGCTAGGCCGAAGAGGGCCTCCCCCTTCTGTGTCATTGGCCGCACTCACAGTTCCCTGCTCACATCTCGGATTGCTCTGTAGGAACTTGCACTTGAGGCCGCTTGCAGGCGGAATGCTGGGAAGCAGATCCGCCCGCGTGGGGCACCTGTCACAAACCCAGCACTTCTCTTTTCAGGAATCACCAGCTATGAAAGACGGCCATCCCAGAGATCCCTCGTCGGCCAGCAGCGCAGCGGGGAAGGAGAGCAGAGACGGCGACAGGTAGGGAGTGGCCGTATAGTGGAGGTTCCCTGAGAGCCGCAGGCCGGGCTGGGGAGGGCAGCCCCCTGCCCGCCAGCACGCCAGGCCTGTGGGAGCTGGCGGTGTACATCCTTCCCTTTCCTTCTGACTCACAAAATTCTGCATGTTCAGGGTAGAAAACATGGCAAGTACAGAAATGTGCAAGTCAGCCAGAAAAATCACTAATAATCGCACCCTTCAAGGCGTCCGTTCTGGCGTGCAGTACGCCCTCCTGATTACGTGCTCACATACCACTGACTGCAGATGACCCAGGATAGTCTCTTAAATCCCAGGCCAACCTTCCTTGGCCTCTTCCAAGTTCAGGCGCACTAAAGGGGTGTCAGAGACCCCCCCCCCAAAAAACGTTGTGAGTTACTAGGTGTGTATATTGTGTTAAACCATTTGAAAGTAAGTTACAGACTTGACAGTCAGCTTCTAACTATTTCAGTGTGTCTCCTAAAATATTTTAATTTTTTTGAGAGACTTACTTATTTGAGAGAGAGGGCAAGTGAGCACGTGGGGGTAAGGGAGGGTGGGCCAGAGGGAGAGACTTAGAATCCCAAGCAGACCCGCAGCCCGGCACAGAGCCCGCCTGACACAGAGCTTGATCTCATGACCCTGAGATCCTAACCTGAGCCAAAATCAAGAGCTGGATGCTTAGGGGCGCCTGGGGGCCTCAATCAGTTACGGGTCTGCCTTCAGCTCAGGTCATGATCTCAGGGTCCTGGGATCCAGCCCCACATCAGGCTCCCTGCTCCGCGGGGAGTCTGCTTCTCCCTCTCTCTGTGCCCCTCCCTTGCTCATGTTCACTCTCACACTCTCTCAAATAAATAAACAAATATCTTAAAAAACAAAAAAAGAGTTGGACGCTTAAGTGGCTGAGCCACCCAGGTGCTCCTCCTCCTAAAATATTTTAAAAGTCTACCAGATTATACCATTATCACACCTAAGAAAATTAATAATAAACTCCCTCGTATCATCTGACATGTAAACCTTCTTCCATTTGCCCAACTCTCCCTAAAATTAACTTGTATAGCTTATTTTTGGGGGACCAGGATCATTCAGGAGTCAGTACACTTAGTTGTACGTCTCTTTAATCTTTTATAACATTTTTCAGTATTAGCACAAGTCACACCTGACCAGGTTCAGAAATATGTAGTAAATTTCTCCACGTGTAGGACCCACAGACCCTCTCTGCCATCGGCGACTTCACGAGGACATCACCTTCTTCGTGAACTGTTACACAAGTTCAAGCTTTTCCTCCCTCTCCAGGCCAAGGTTCAGCTACCTCTGGGTTCTGGGCACAGAGCGAGGCAGTACCCACTTGTCGGGCCTCAGCATAAATGGTTGAAGAGGTGGTAAAAATAAAACAGCGAGAGACAAGAGGAAAAACAGACTCCGTTCATTCTACAGGGGCTTGCTGAGGAGGGCTGCCTGCCCAGCCTGCTCGTGGCCCTCCAAGGAGCTGCCCGTGTGGAATCTGCCTGGTCTGCCTGCCCGGGCTGAGATCTCCCCATGGATTAAGCAGGGGATGATGGGTTTTCTAGTTGAACACCTAGTAGCAAACGGCGTCTGTGCCAAGCAGCAGAAGCCCACGGGTCCTGCCTCCAGCTGCACTGAACCCGAGAGCACCATTTTCCAGAATTGCAAATGGCCCTTGAAAAAAAAAAGCAGAAGGAGGAGCACATTCACTGCTTAGAAGCAATTACAAAAATGTCCTCTTTCCACAGAGGCCAGACCGCGGACCTGACACTGAAGGCACACGTAGCAGGTGGTTCTTCCCAGGACTGTGTGTGATTTTGCTCTGGGCCATCCTTGTCTTACTGAAGGCACAAATTTTTATGTCTCACATACTTAGGGTTAAAAATGTGGCCCGTGACCGGAAGGCCAGCCTGGGCCTCACAGGCTCCATGGTAGAAACCATCGGAATAAAATGGGAATATGAGAGAAGATGCTGGGGCAAGAAGGGCCCCTGCAGACCCAGTGTCTGTCTGCTCCCGGAAGGCCCCTCGCCGCCCCTCACTTCCTCTCTGCTGGTGGTTCTCTCCTTCTCCCCCGCTCACCAGCAAATTCCTGCTCTGCTCAGTGCTGCGGGGTGTGGCTCGGCTGTCCTGCCACAGGGGCCTGTTGTCGTTCACACTGGCCTGGGTCTTCCTGCTCAGGCTGGTGCCCCTGCTGCTTGTTTTAATGTCAGTCTCTCCTGCTACACCCAGCATCCCAAGGACAAGGGCCGGTCTGCCTGGTTCATGCTTCTGTCCCGCAGGAATGTGGCCTTTGGAAAAGACTGGAGGAAGGACACTAATAGCCATGCAAACTCTCTTCCAACCTGAGCCCTTTTGCTCTTCCTGTTCTTGGATACCCACTGTGCATAGGGTGGCCTCGACAGTGACTGATCCCATCACTTATGTAAATAGCTCAGGGAAACCTTGATCTTTTTTTTCCTTTTCGTTTTTTTTTCTTCTTCTTTTTTTTTTTTTTTTTAAGTAGGCTCCACGTTGAGCATGGAGCCCCACACAGGACTTGAACTCATGACCCTGAGATCAAGAACTGAGCTGAGATCAAGAGTCAGGTGCTTAACCAACGAGCTGTGCAGGCTCTCCAGGCTCCTTCTTAATCCCTTCTATTGATAGAGCATCCACAGAGAGCAGGAAATGTCCCAAGGTCACACAGGTCATCAGTAGCGATGCTGGCAGTCCAGTCCGCGCCCTGGCTTCCGGCCCCCACTCAGGCCCCCGTGCTGGGTGTGGGGAGCTGCGTGGCCTGCACACGAGAGCTGCAGTTCCAGAAGAACCTGTCAGGAGTAGTCGTAAATCGGAGTCTTACAGAGAGCTGCACGGCCTCAGCCCCCTGGTGTCCTGGACCCCGGGGCCTGCTGGACCCTTACAACACAAACCACTTCTCTCTAGGGCCTCCAGGTCACCGGATGGTTCAGAGTTGGCGCGGTCGGAGGAGGAAGTGGACGAGCTGTCCCTCATCGACCACAGCGAGATCATGTCCAGGCTGACGCTCAAGCAAGAGGTGAGAGCGGGCCGCGCGGCCTGCGTAGCGGTGAGGGGCTCTGAGGACAGTGTAACCTTGCGGTGTCTCAAATAGAAGGACCCAAGCAAGGCAGTGACAGGTGAGGTTGGACCCCCCCCCCCCAACTTCGTGAGTTCTGCGCTCGGCATTTATCCTGGGCATGTGGAAGGCCTCCTGGAGAGAGTGCGCTGTCCCCTTCTCTGACACTTCCAGTCAGTCATCTTGGCAAGTCACATACGATCTCTAAGCCCCAGAGGACAGGACTTTGGGGGACACTGTAACAGTGGAGCCCACGTAGGGTGCTCAGCATGGACGCGAGTGCAGCGAGCCCTCAGCAGCATAAGCTTCCTCCCCGTCAGTATCGATCGAACCAGCCCCTGTAGTTTCGGTGGGAGCCTCAGACTGATTGAGACGTCTCGGACCTGCAGCCGCCTCTGTCCTGTGCCTTGTCAGGAGGACCTGGGCGATTCTGGAAACCCAGAAGAACGTCTTAACGTGCTCACCCTGACCCGCCCTGCGGGGTGACTGTGTCTCTGGGCTCTGGCTGCGCGGTGGGGTGCACACAGAACAGGCAGGGCGGGGCTCACGGGTCCCTGGGGCAGCCAGCTTCTCTGCAGAGAGAAGTGATGCTTCGTGACCCTTGCCAGAAAAGTTCTGAACAGTTGGGTCATGGGCAGCTGCCCTCAGCCTTAGCTGGAAATCCAAGATGCTCTCGGGACTCTGGAATCCAGGGCTGAAAACATGGATGCCCTGGAGAGGCAGGTGCATCTCCGAAATGGAGGGCCTGGGGGGCTCGAGGGGCGGTTTCCATCAGAACCAGAGGTGGAGGGGCAGGGGCCGGTTGTCAGGCAGGCCTGCCAGATGACTGCTGTCTCTGGCTTTGGGCAGGTTTATGGGCTAAAACCTCTGTTTGGCCACCTGGAAGTATGACTTTTTCCTTAATTGGCAGAGGGTAGCCAATATCCTCTGTAAGCAACATCTGGGACAATTAAACATCTTTGTGACGCTTTACACTCCTTTGAGGGCTCCCTGTACAGGAACTTGTAACATGGCAAGTGACTCTTCCTTCCACCTGGGGAACGGATGTAAATGTGGGGCGGCTTGCTGCAGCTTTAGGAACATGACCGTGCCCGGGCTTAGCTCTGCTGCCCCTGTGGCATTGTTGGGAGTGGCTGGTGCAGTCCTGCCTGCCTCCATGGGAGGGTCCCACCGTTCCCAGCGTGAGAACATCCCTCCTCATGTCCCTGTCCCCTGGCTTGGTGAAGAGGGAGAGATCTGTTGGTGCCATCGTCCCTCAACTGTGCTGTGACCCAGCACAATGTGCCCTGGTATCTGGCCGGCTCCCAGGGCCGTCCACCTCCCAGATGAGCTCTGGTCTGTGCTGTCTTCAGAGTGCAGAGTGGCCTCTGTGCTCGGTCATGCTGCTCCCAGGCAAGGGAGGGCGGGGGCAGGGCCAGGGTCTCTGCAGTGCCTCGGCTTTGTCGTCTTGTTCCGCCTCGGACTTCCTGATCGGACTCTGATGGCTGCATTCCGCTGCATGCCCTCCTTTGCTTTGTCTTTGCAGGGTGACGACGGGCCAGATGTCCGTGGCGGGTCTGGAGATATCCTACTGGTGCATGCTACTGAGACAGACAGGAAAGGTGCGGCAGCGCCCTGGGCAGGGGCCTTGGTCCTCGTCACTGCTCTTGGGGTGGGCTGGCCCCACAGACCTCGGTGGGGTCAGAACGTGGTCCTGGTGACCCGCAGTCATTGTGCAGAGAGCCTACCCCTGGGGATGGGACCAGCTCTCTCGGGGTACGCCCTCCATGGGTGAAGCCTAATGATGACCCCAAGGGCCCCCAGGGGCCGTGGAGAGAGAGCTTCACATGCAGAGCTCAGCACCTCAGGTAACAACACGTCTGATACTATTAACCTTCCAGCAGCATGTAGGTGTAGCTGTTTCTACTTTTCCTGATGTCTGACCCATTATGTTATTCCAGACACCAGACAGAGTTTCACTTGTGGCCTCCACGAGGAGACCCCAGCACGTGTTCTGTCCGGAGCGTCTAGGACAGAGTTCTGACCCCCTCAGCACGTGGCCACCCCATTCAGTGTCCTGATCCCGTTAGCAGGGCTGGGAAGGCAGGGGACCTAGTGCTAGCAGAAGAGTGCTCACTCTGCATCTGGTCCAGCAGGGAGGGGAGAGGAAGGGCTGTGACCTTGACCTTGACCTCCACCAGGAGTGCTGCAGGTCCTGCCATGTCCCCCCCGCACACTCCTTTTCCTACTATGTCTTTGAAAGTTATTAAAAAGGGGATGTGACAACAGTATTAAAGCCAGTTGTGTGAAAAATTAAAATGCCCCAATCCAGAAACCCTCACCCACCAGTTTTATTTTTATATATGACCATGCCCCTGTTTTTACAGTAAATTTCCCCAGATATATTACACAGAATGATTTGAGGAATTTTTAAATTACAAAAACAGTACAGAAATGGTCACATTGCAGAAAATTTGAATAACAGGGAAAAAGAAGAAATGACCCCAATAAACTTACCATAGCCATTATTTTGCCCTTTGCGGTTTCTTCACCCCCGGTTTCTTTGGACTAGGGCAGAAGCCCAGTCCTGGGGACTGAGTTCAAAGCCAGGCACGTCCCGTCCCTTCCCAGCCTCAGCAGACCCGCCTGTTTGAAGAGGTCCCAGTGGGCAGGGAGAGGCGCAGAGCTGACGTGAGGCGGCACGGCACAGCCATTCAGGAAGCAGCGAGCGTGCTCAGAAGCAGCCCTCGCGCTCCTCCACGGCACCCCCACCCCCACGCCTGCCTGAGCGCCGGCCTCAGCTGGGCAAGAGGAACAGCTGTCATTTCCATCCAGAGGGCTCAAGGGGGAGCTGGCTCCGTCCTCGGCTCGGGGCACCAAGCTCTGCGGTCCTGTAGGGGCAGCTGGCTGCAGCCCCGGCCAGAGGGAGCCCCGGGGGCAGGGCAGTCCAGAGCCTTCAGGTGGCCAGCGGGGACCTCCACTTGACTTCAGTCATGGAGAGACGTTGAAGCTACAGGGAAACAAAGTCCCGTGCACATGGATGGATGCTGGAGGCAGAGGCCCTGGGCCACACTGAACATTCCTTGGGCAGGTGGTTTCCTGTGGACCAGAGACCACCCCGGTGGTTCTCCACTGGATGCCCACGGCTCAGGGCCTGCAGACTTGGATCTGGTCCTCCAAAGCAGGCCCTGGCCTGTGCTGGGCCCATCTCTGCCTCCTTACCCAGCCCATCTCTGAACAAAAGCCCCAGGGGGTGGTGAGCTGGTGAGTTGAGGGGTCCGGGGAGGAGGGGCCTGAGCAGGATGCTGTCGGGCCATGCTGTGTGTTTCCTGCCCAGGAGCCTCCTTCCCAACACCTGCTCTGCCGGCCAGGCCCACCCCAGCCAGACCCCGGATGCTGGAGCCGATGTTGCTTTTGCTTTCGTTTGTCCTGGAGGTGACCAGGCAGGCCAGAGCACAGGAGCCAAGATTCAGCTGAGCCTGCGCTGCTCTGCTGGGGAAGCAGGGATCCTCTTGATTCCTCCACTTGGCAAGCTGGGGGATAAGTGAGAGAAGACGGGAGGAGGGGGTCCGTGTCCAGAGAAGACCAGCCTTATCTTTGGCCTCGCAGTATGTGGAAATTCCTAAGATTTTTGTCCCTGGGCCCTGCCATCTCAAGTATTCCCTGTGATTTAGCTTCATAATCCTGCGGATGAGTTTGAGTTATTTTCTCTGTGCCCACAGTCTGAGGTACATGCAGCAGGCGCGCTGCCCGTCTTTGTCCCCTGCCAGCAGCAGGCGTCACTAATCAGTTGTTCTTTGCTCTAGATTTGGTCCTGTACTGTGAGGCCTTCTTGACCACCTACAGGACCTTCATCACCCCGGAGGAGCTCATCAAGAAGCTGCAGTACAGATATCCTTCCCCGCGGCACCTCCGCCCTGGCCCCACGCCTCTGCTGGCGCAGAGCCTTGGGAGGCAGCCAGGAGAGAGAGGGCCTTGCGTGCCTGCTCCCCGCGTCCTAGCTTCGGGGCCTCGGGCCAGGCTTTCTCTTGCAGTCCCCTTCCTTGTCTGAGTGCTGAGTGAGAGACGTGCGGCGCCGGGTCATGGGTGTGCTCACGGCAGCTGCGGTCACTAGGGAGTCCTGAAGAGGAGTTAGGAGCGGCTGACTCACCCCAAGAGGGAGCACGCGCACAGGCCCCTGCAGCTTCTGAGCCGAGCCCCAGGCCACTGAGGTGACAGGTCCCAAGTGTGCGGGGCTTAGGGGAGTCAAGACTCACATGAGCAGCCTCGGGGGAAGGCACAGCCACTCTGCCTGGTGGCAGACCCCGCAGTGGACAGACCACGTCCAGACAGAATTGGCCCCTACCCCTTAGCTGTCTCTGGCTCGCCCTTTCCAGGGTGACTCTGCAGTAGCGGTCAAGGAAGACCCTGGGCCCTAGGACCCAGCGTCCTTGACTTTCTCTCAAACCTGCTCCTCCTGCGGAGGCTAACCAGAGCGGCTGCTCTGAACCACGACCAGCCCTGGCGCCCGGCCCCGCCCCCTCCCCGTGTCACAGCCCACGACTGCCATCTGCCGGACAGCTGCTGCTGCTCGGGCCAGGAGGTCCTGAGTCCTACGGCTGCCTCCCTCCCTTTCTGTGTGCCCTGAGGCTCGGCCTCTTGTCTCCCCCGCACCCTGTCGCTCCTTTCACTGTCCCCGTGCCCCAGCCCTAGAGGACCTGGTCCCTCAAGATGGAAGGAGACGGTCCTCACTGCAGAAACATGTTCCTTCAAGCCTCACGCGTTCAGTTGCTCCCAGGCCTGGCTCAGCAAGTGACAGTAACTCACACTTGTTGAGAACTTCCAGTGTCAGGCAGGATGCTAAGCCCGTGCGCGTGGAGGCTCATTGAGCTATGAAACTACTTGCTTTATAAAACGTTTTTATAAAACTACTAGCACATTACTTATGCCAGTATGTTACTACTTATCACGTGACTCGGGAAGCAGCCTTGGAGAGCCTAAGTGACCCACACAGCAGCTCGGTGGGCGAGGGGCCACCCTGTGCCCCCACGCTCCTGAGCTCCGGTCCCGGCACCTGCCCTGCGTGGCTGCTGCAGGCATCCGTGAGGACGTCGCAGCACCAAGGTCCTGGGCACAGCCGCCTAGTGAGCCCTGTGCGGCAGGCTATGGGGTCAGTGCTGTGAGGCTCCTTTTTGAGCACTCGTGGATCCCTGGAGAGCGGCAAGGAGAGCCTGGCAGGGCCTGGAGAGTTGATGGTGAACACGAGGGGATGGCGAGAGTCTGTGCTCCTCCAGGCAGAAACCATGACCTTGGGAGGAACTGGAGGGGGTCAGGTGTGTGGCTGCTGAGGGGAAGGGGTGTCTGAAGCTCCAGAGAGGGCTGGGAGGGAGCTCAGGGCAAGAGTGCAGGAGGCAGCTGTGGGCCACGCACCCTCCACCCAGTCCCATTGGGAGGGTGTTCAGGGCATGTGGATTCTGACCACCTTTTACCACCTGAGGCCCAGCTGGGCAGCCTGCAGCGTTTCAGTAAGTCCCACAGGAAGCTTGGGGGCCCGGGGGAGACCTGACAGAAGGGCAGTGGAAGCTGTCCCACGGGCATAGCTCCTGGGGGCGGGGGCCTCGATCCCAGGGCTCCTGCACGTAAGCGCCCTGTAAATGGCAGCTGGGACAAGGTAGCCCCCCCCTTCCCGCCAGCCCTGCCTGTGTGAGAATGGCTTTCCTTAACCCACACTCCACGTACGAGAAGTTCTCTCCCTTTGCCGACACATTCAAGAAGCGTGTCAGCAAGAACACGTTCTTCGTGCTGGTGCGGGTGGTGGACGAGCTCTGGTGAGTGCTTGTGCCCGGGAGGTGGCAGGGAGTCCGGCAGGCCTGGGGCACCCCAGGGTTTCCCAGCAGGGCTGTAGGCTTCCTTGCTGAGACCAGGACATCCTGTCTCGTTCCATCTGCTTCCCCCAAGCTGTGTGCCCACAGAGCCGCCCCGTGCGGCTCTGGGTCGGGCTTGTGCTTGCCCACCTGAGGAGGACTCTGGGGAAGAATGAGCCAGCCACCCAGACCAGGCACGGGCCACACCGATCTCCTCATGGGGCCATCCCTTGCACGTGCAGCTTAGGCCTGGTCCCCGGCAGCCACAGGGTCAGCGGGCAGGGGCGGCCTCCTGCTCTCACCCAGCACCGCCCACCCTGACTCAGCACTCACTTAACAAGCGCATTTCCAGCTGCTCCCTCTCCTGGGTCTGGAGAGCCGGGCTGAAGGAAACCGTGGGCCCTGCCTTCAAGGCATTTCCGTCCTGCAGGGAGAATGGCCTCCACCCTGGACGGCACCGAGGCTGACCATCGAGCATAGAAAGCGCCGCGTGAAGGGATTGCAGGAGCGTCCTGCAGGCAGGGGCCTCAATGACTCACCACCCAGGGGACCAGGGGCTGCCTCAGGGTCTGGGCTGGAGTGGGACGGTCTCCCTGGCCCAGGCCTGCACGTGGGTGCTGGAGCTTGTCCCGCGCTAACAAGCATTTGCTGAGAGTGTGGCCGTTCTGTGTCATCCGTGGGACCACTCCCAGTGCTTCTGAGGTGGCCGTCTCGACGCCTTTTCTTGCTCTCTTCCCTGAAGAGGTTTCCGAGCCCTGCAGGTCGCTGCCACATGACCCTTGGGTATTCTGAGGTGGATTGTGGGCGCGGTGGTAGCCGTCCTCTTCCTGGGCCGTGACACAGGGCCCCTCACTGTGTGGCCCTTGGTCCTCCAGCCTTGTGGAGTTGACAGAAGAGATCTTGAAGCTGCTGATGGAGCTGGTCTTCCGCTTGGTGTGCAGCGGGGAGCTCAGCCTGGCCCGTGTGCTCCGGAAGAACATCCTGGACAAGGTGGACCAGAAGAAGCTGCTCAGGTGTGCCAACTCCGACCAGCCCCTGGCAGCCCGGGGTGTAGCCGCCAGGTGAGCCGGAAGATGACAGGAGTGGTGCCTGGTAGCCATCTCCCAGCCCTAGAGCCCCATGTCCTGGTTCTGCCCAGACCCTGCGGCAGGAGGTCTTCTGGACAGCCCGATGGCTTCCCCAGGAGTTGGGCTTCTTCTCCAAGGGGTCATGATGGGTGATGTTTAAAATTCCCCTTTTTAACCAGGAAGCGGGGGGGCACTTACTGGGACAGGAGACAGGTGCACGCATTTCTGCTGTGGTTGGCTCTTGTCTTCCCGGCACTGATGTGGCAGCTGTGCGTTCTCAACCGCCCCCACCCCCGCCCGCCCTTTGGGCCCTGCTGAACCTTCCTATGAACCTGCCACGACCTACTCCGTTGCTGGTGGCCTGGCCAGCGAGCGTTTCAGCCTTCATCCCTGTGGCACCGTCTGTCCCCACTGGGCCCTGGCCGTGGGGTTAGGCCGAGTTCTCACGCAGCACATTGGTCTGTGCTGAGCCACGGGACCCACCCAGCAAAGGTGCCATGGTCCCCGGCAAGAGTGCGATCTGGTGCTGCCCTGCCGCTGGCCGGCTGGGGGGCCAGGCTTGGGGCGGCTGCTCGCTCTGGCCGCCCAGCTGTGAGGCCACAGGACAGCACCCAGCCAGCTCCCGTCATCCCTGTCCCCACTGCTCATCTCATGTCTCTGTCTTCTAGGCCAGGGACTTTGCATGACTTTCACAGCCATGAAATAGCCGAGCAGCTGACCCTGCTGGATGCTGAGCTCTTTTATAAAATAGAGGTATGCAGTGAAGCAGGGCTGGGGGCTGCGGAGAAGGCTGTCCCCTGCCCCGGGATGAGCAGCTGCTGCTGGTCCCTCAGCAGGAGAAACTTGCCAGGAAGCCAGAGGGCTCTAGTTCCATCCAGTCTACTTCCTTTTCCAGATTCCTGAGGTTTTGCTTTGGGCAAAAGAGCAGAATGAGGAGAAGAGCCCGAACTTGACCCAGTTCACGGAGCACTTCAACAACATGTCCTACTGGTAAGAAGGGGCAGCTGTGCGAATCCCTGGCTGTCTCTGGCAGCGTGTCTGGCTGGGTCCCCGTGCTCTCCCTCCCATGGGAGGAGGTGCCCTTCCCCCCCAGCTCCTTCCGAGGCCCTGGGTGTTACTTGGGAGCTGCAGGCAGCAGAGAGCCCGGTGGCGGAGACAGCGGCTGCGAGGAGTGCCAGGAGCGATTGGTAATGTCTGCCGTAGGCGGCCGCAGGGACAGGGGTGTCTGTGGTGCCACTCCGCGCTGGTCACTGCCCAGCTCCCCACTGCCAGGCAGCCTCAGGGCCGAGCCCCACAGGATGCTGCCTGAAGAGAACAGCAAAGGCGTGCGTTCTATTAATACTTTAATTAGGCCTGAATTCTTAAAGGAAAATGAAGCCCAAAGATGTGCTTATACTACAACACGTAACAGAATGGTGAGCTTATCAAGACATGACCTGAAGGTGCCCCCGCCTCTCAGAGCGGGGGTAGCCACGCAGCCAGCACTGCGCCCACTGCCGGAACATCTATGAGTTGTTAAACGTGGCGAGGACTGCTTGTTGGAGGGGACTTGGGTCATGTCCCACTTTGCCAGCTTTGCTTCCCACCTCACAGCAAGTGCTCCGCTCCCCAGCAACGTGAGCTGAGCCGTAGCAAGCCGCCCTGGGAGGCAGGGGTGTATAGGCAGGCGGACACAGCACACAGCCTTGAGCCCCGCCTCTGCCATACCCCTTGGGGGCTTCTGAGGAGGAGGCGCAGGGCCCCCCAGAGCCACAGTCCTCAGGGCGTGCACTGGGTCCAAAGACACAGCAGAGGTGGCGCTTGCTCCAAGTGCCCTGGCAGTGGCCCCCCGTGAAGCCACAGGGTCTCCAGGCCATGGTGAGGTCCTCGTGCGAGGCTGGGCTTGTGGTGGCCACCGAGGTTCTCAAGGTACCCTCCTAACGCCGTGCTCCCTCGTCTCCTAAGCGAGTCCCGAGGCCACAGGAGGAGCATTTCCAAACCCAAGAGTGCTGGGGTCCACGCTCGTCAGGAAAGTCTGCTTGGATGCTCCAAAGCGTCCATCAGCACGCGTGGCCCAAGGTCCCCGTCACACTGTGTATGACCTCTCGGCCTGTCCCTGGGATGCTGTGAGCTCCTCGAGAGCAGAGATGGGGGGCTGTGCTTGGTGTCCCGGAAGCCCCGGGCGTGCGGTGCAGGTGTCTGTCCCTCTCCACCAGGACCACCTAGGGGTCTAAAAGGAGACCAGTCAGCTCAGCCAGCTCTTCTGCCCTTTGGTCTTACAGGGTCCGGTCAATAATCATGTTACAAGAAAAAGCCCAGGACCGGGAGCGGCTGCTGTTGAAGTTCATCAAGATCATGAAGGTAGCAGCGGCTGCTGTCCCCGGAGTCCGCTCCTTCGAGCCCCGCCCAGGAGCCCTGGGCCTGCCTCATGGCCACCTCTCCCTCTCTCTGCAGCACTTACGGAAGCTGAACAACTTTAACTCCTACCTGGCCATCCTCTCGGCACTGGACTCGGCTCCCATCCGCAGGCTGGAGTGGCAGAAGCAGACCTCAGAGGTGAGTGGCTGGGAGGGAGGCCGGCCGGCCCCTGGGGAGCCAGCCACAGGGGAAGGCACGAAGGAGGCTGCTTGGCTGCCAGCCACCCCCAGCCCCTGGCTTGCTGTGGCTTATCTCTGATCTTTGGGTCCGGAGGGACTGCGTCGTTGGTGCTGGGGTTGTCCCCTCACAGGGTCCTGCTGCCTGGCTGCGGGCCCGTACCTGGGTTCCCGCTTCACTGCTTCCTTCCTTCTGGAGGGGCTGCTCCGGGCTGGCGGCAGCACTCGTCCTTAGGGACATACTGTGGACAGGCCAGACCTATTGATTTCTTTAGGGTAATTGCCAAGAGGGCAAGGACGGGGCGGTGTGGCCCGTTTGGGGGTCAGGGAGGTCCCTGAGGAAGGGTCAGTCATACCAAGACCCAACAGGAAGAGTTTCTGGAGAACAAAGGGAATTCCCAGGCAGAGGGGACAGAAGCATGTAGAGACTGGCATGCACAAGCAGCAGGACAGAGGCCAGCATGGCCATATCACTGGGGAGGGGACCTGCTCTGGACCACGACATGGGCCTTGGGGAGGCCCGGTGAGGACCTCGATGCTTGTGTGGGGAGGCTCCTTTAGAAGAAAGGCAGAGCCCACAGGGGCTGGATGTCAACTGGGCCACCCAGGTGTTATCTCAAGGGGTGACATTAAGGGACAGTTGTAAGTCTACGGTATGGAGAAGTGTGGGACCTTCACAGTGGCTGCCACAGAAACACCTAGGAGGTCCTGAAGAGGAGACATGTCAGGGTGCAAGGTAGCTAACAGGTGAAGAGGCGAGCGGGGCGGATGGGCCAGAAGCACCCGCTGTGTGCAGGGGGCGCTCAGGTCACTGGCTAAGCCTCGGCAGCTCTGTCGTGAGTGCGGCAAGGAGCCAAGGCAGGCTCGGAGCCGGGGATGGCACCGTTCCGGTGTGCTCGAGAAGTCCCTGCGGGTTACAGGGCCGGGCGGCCCCCAGCAGGAGGCCTGGCGCCAGGCCCCATACACGCCACGGGCAGTGGGGGCTTGGAGCCAGGGTTCTGCAGCGGGTACACGCAGGCCTGGGGGCCCGTTCCCACGGTAGGACCAGTCTCCCCGCAGCCGAGGCAGGCCCCAGGGCTGGGCAGAGGCAGGGGCCAGGGAGGAGGCTGGCACCGGGGCCTCACACACGGTCCCTCCCACCCAGGGCCTGGCTGAGTACTGCACACTGATCGACAGCTCGTCCTCCTTCCGCGCCTACCGGGCTGCCCTCTCCGAGGTGGAGCCCCCGTGCATCCCCTACCTGTGAGTAGAGCCCCCGCAGCTCTGCCCCACTGGCTGCTCCCCGGGGGGACGTACGTGTAGAGAGAGAAACTCTCCCTCCAGGGTTTCCAGCTCAGACGTTAGACTTCGATTTTAATGTTAAACTGTAACAGGGAGCGTGTTTTAAACAGAAAGGAAGGGTCCAATGAAAACAGTTCCGCTCTCCCATCTCCCGGTCCCACTGCTGTTTCCTTCCCGCGTCTGCCAGGAACAGGACCACCCCCCCACCCCCGCGCGCCAAGGGTCCTCAGCCGTGGCTGCACCTTACAGTAGCCGGAGGGCTTTATGGTCAGTCACCCAGGAGCCCTGAGAGCGCTTCCCCACGTGGAGCCAAGGCATGGAGGAAATGGGGGGAAACAGCCCTCATCACGTAAGCTGAAGGCAAGGGTTGAAAAAGTCAAAGCTAGACTGGTCTGTCACAGAGCCCTTACTAAGCGGGTAGACACGGGGAACCTCCACGAGGGGGCAGAAGACTCCGCAATGGCCCCGGGTGGGGGGCTGCCCTCCCAGAATGCTACCGTGCTTGCCCCGGGGGGTGGCGGCTGGGCTCTTGGCAGTGTGTCACCTGGGCCCCATTGCTCACCTTACGGCTTCCCGTTCTCTGGTGAGAAGCACCTGTTAACACAGAGACTCTCCATGCCTCCGTCCCCCTGGGCTTTGGGTTTGCTATTTTTTTTCCTGCTCATGTATTAATTTTACAAGGCTCCTCCCACACCCGAGCTGGCTTTCCCAGGGACCCAGAGTTTCTAGGTCAGGAGTTCACGCAGGAAGAGACCAACACGGGCCAGACGTGCTCTCCGGAGCAGTGACCGGGCCTCTCCGTCCTCCCAGGGGGCTTATCCTGCAGGACCTCACCTTTGTTCACTTGGGCAACCCAGACTATATTGACGGGAAGGTGAATTTTTCCAAACGGTGGCAGCAGTTCAACATTCTGGACAGCATGCGGTGCTTCCAGCAGGCGTGAGTACCGGGGCGCTCGTACCTGGCCCCTGAGGCACGAGGGGGGCGGGGATGAAGGAACACCAGGGTCTGCACCGAGGTGGTGGCCCGCCGCGTCCGGGGAGACTGCAGCACAGGGGGCCCGAGGAACGGGGGTTCCCGAGGGCAGCTTGCAGAAGGGCAAGCGGGCTCCTGCCACCAGCCCTCCACCTGTGGGGTGCTCGGGTGCCGGGACCACACGCACGGTCCCTCCGGGAGGCCGTCGGGCTGCTGGCCCCACGCCGGTCCTGACTGGAGGCCCCCCACAGGCACTATGATATCCGAAGAAATGATGACATCATAAACTTCTTCAATGACTTCAGCGACCACTTGGCGGAGGAGGCCCTGTGGGAACTCTCTCTGAAAATCAAACCTAGGAACATCGCGAGGAGAAAAACAGACCGGGAGGAGAAGACCTAGGAGCAGGTGCCGTGAGCAAGGAGAGCGCTCGAAGAGAGGCTCTGAGGGCTGCCGCGACCGGGCGGGACTTTGGACCTGGCCCCGGGCAGGCTGCACGTGTCCGGCCCCAGGGCTCAGCCAGCCCTCTGCTGTGCCGGGCAGGAGCCCCAGCCTTCCTGCTCCCCTTCCCCACGGGAGCGGACGCCGTGCCCCCCGTGGAGCCAGCAGGCAGGTCTCGTTGCTGATTTGTGAGCCCGTGGTTTGGTTTCGGTTCCGGTCTCTGCGCTCACTTCCCTATTCCTCCCCTCCCCACCCTCGCCGGGGAGCCGCACAGGGAGAGCGGCAGACCAAGGCACACTGGGACTCTCTTCACCCTTCCCTTAAGTTTGAGGGTCCTGAATCTGCTGAAATGACAAATGAGTGGACGCTGAGAGGTGGGGGGCTGTACCCCAGGGACTTTCAGTTGGGTCGGCAGAAAGCAGAGAAGACCCGGGAGGCTCCTTTTACTTTCCTTTCCCGGCTTCTTAAATGCAAGGTGGTGTGAGCTTTTGACGTGGCCCAGAAAGGTTCACCAGGTGGCCTTTCAGTAGCGCTGGGCTGGGGCTCCCGTCATGGTACTGGCCCTCAGAACCGTCCTCTTCCCGTCCCTTCATCTCCCCGACCACCTGGCACTTGGGGAGCCGGGAAGAAGATGGAGCAAGGGAGGGTGGAGGTTCAGCTGAGCGGGGGCCAGGAAGTCCTCCTGGGTGAATGAAGTTGGAGAGTGGAGGGGCGTTTCTGTCCTGGGGAAGGTCAAGGTCCCTCCTCTGTCGCTTGCTGTGTGCCTTAAACTCCATCTCCTGTCCCCTAGTCCCCGTGGGCTCCCCTCCTACCTTGCTCCATCCTGGTGGGGCCAAAGGGTGCCTCTCCGACCTCTCCCCCAGTGCGCAGCGAGCTCTGCCCGGTTTAGGACAGGGCGCCCCGCCCCAGAGGGGGGCTGCCGTGGCTCTGGAGGCGCCTGCTGAGGCTGACTGGCCGGCTCCTGCCCCCTGCCCCGGGGCCTGCTCACTCTCCCCATCTTCCTGGTTGGAAACCACGCTCGCTGGTGAGGTGGACTGTCGGAGGCAGGTCCGCAGGGCGGTCCCCGAACACAGAGGGACCACTGTCCCCCTGCCCCTTGGGTCCTGGTTTGCTGACTGAGCGCTTGCTTCTCCTGGCCTTTACTTGGTCAAGCAAATGCCAGGGTCGAACTTCTTAAACAACCATGTCACTTTGAGTCTTTCCTGGGTTCTGAGCAGCTTTCTCCGCTCTTGTTTGGGGTCCTGGACCTAGAGGGGAGAACGTGTGAAATGCCAGTGGCGCCCCCTCGGGCAGTGGTCTGGCTGCACGGGCCGAACGTGTCACTTTCTTATTTAAAGCATGTGGTCGCTGTTCTTCAGCAGTGCAGGGCCAGGAGGCCCCTCACTGGGGTCGCGTCCTCCCCCTTCCCGTCTTGCCCCTGCCCGGCCCAGCGCCGCCAGAGGCTGCTGCGTGCGGGGGGCCGCCCCAGCCCAAATACTCATGCGGGGTCTTCACCTTACACGCCCGTCCGCGGATGGGGATGGGGGCTTTACCTTCCGTCCCCTCCCCTCTGGGAGCCCTGCCAGGCAGAGGGAGGCAGTGTGGGGGACAGGGGTCCCTGCGTGAGGACCACAGGGGCCATGTGCGTTTAACTTACTGGCTGGCAGGCTTCCCACCCTGTGCTAGCCACGCATCCGGGCTCTGATCGGTCTTGGGGACCAGGACCCGGTGTTACCTGCGGGGGGGGGGGGGGGGGCTGGAGCCAGGGATGGGCGGCCGCACGCCAGGTCAGAAGAAACCCAACCTTTCAGAAGCGCCTCCCTCTCCCCCCACTCCACGCCTCCCCCCGTTACAGTGTAATATATATGTATCCCCACTAACCTGGCTGATGGTGGTATCTTCCTGCAGACATTTCAAACCTGTAACTTTTATACGAAAGGAGAATAAACACGGATGAAAGCTGCGTCCACGTGACCATTTGAGCTGCCCCCACGGGGGGTGGGACAGAGGCCACCAGCCCATCTGGAATTTTCCCTCCTTGGTCTTGTGCCCCGTAAGTGGATTAGTGCACAAGTCCCGTACAGCCCCCCAGCCTGCTGGTCAAAACTGAAATTTCTAGGGTAGAATTCTGGGGGCACAGAGGTACCTGGAGCTACTTTCCAAAGCCCCCAAAGCAGGGTCTGTGAAGGCGTGCCTTCTGTACCATTCTGTGTCCTGCACACCCCGAGGCAGCATGCACAGGCTTGGAAACAGCCCCACACGTTTGGGTTTCTGTGCTCTGACGGGGCTGCGTCTCCTGCTACGCTGAGCCCTTGGACTTCGCCCCAGCCTGTGTGTCACCCCCAGCATCTGAGAGAGAGACGGTCAGCTGCTGAGTCCTCTACTGGCCGCCAGTACCAAGAACCAGCCTGAGCTGGCCCCTCTCCTGCAGGTGACCAGGAGGCCACAGGCCGGGTGCAGACACCTGTGCTGAGCCTGCCACCCAGAACCACAGGGCACACCGCTCCCCTCAGCCTGGAGAAGCGCCTGGGTCCCACCGCCACCCCCACATGGCACAAGCAACCTGCGTGCTTAACCCAGCAGCTCAGGAGGTGCAGAGGACCTGAAAATAAGACCTCCCTACCCCCACCCTACATTCAGACCTCAGATCCGTGTCCGGCCCTGGGAGGGGTGCAGTGGCTCCGCACAGCTCCCTCCAGCAGCATGAGAGGCAGACCCCGCACATTCACGGAAACCACTCCTCCTTCGTCGGTTCGGCTTACTCACTAGGGGTGCACGACTTAGGAACCCAGTCAGGCAGGGCGTGGGTCGTTCTTGTCCCGCATTTGCTGGGGACGCCCTGGAGGTACTTCACCCTTGTCTAAGATGGGCTCCGGTCCTGGTTCTGTACTGAGAGGCCACGTGACCTTAGGTAAGTGGCCCCCGCACTGCTGCCCAGGTTTCCCAGCTGGGGCTGGGGTGATAACAGCTTTTACCTCAGGTCTCTGAAGGCGCAGTGAGTTAATACTTGGAATGGGGTCTGGTAAGATTACTTCTCCGCACACACACAGAGGTGTGGGTCCCAAGCACTCCGCAGACCCCTTTCCTTCACTCACTCTCTTAACTAAATAATCCCCCCCACCCCCCAGCAACCCATGACAGCCATGGTAAATGCCACATGAGGAGGTGCCTGACCTCCGCTCACAGACCTCCGGTCCACACAGGCTCACCAGCAATTCGTGCCGAACAAGTCGCTTTAGTCTTACGCACACGCGCCTAAGAACAAAAGGGGGAAACACCTCTCAACTCGTCGAGTAGAACATAGTCTTGACATCAAACCCAGACAACCGTCCAAGAAAATTACAGGCAAATACTTGCACAAAACTTCTAGAATAATCTTAGCAACCCTAAGCCAGGAGCATATAGAAGTCCATACCCCCTGACCACGCTGGGCTTACCCTTAAATGTAAGGATGGAATGTCAGTGAGCTGGCGACCATTCCAGACCTTCATGCTCCATAGCTTATCCAGGTGCCCCCACCTGGTGCCCCTCTGCTTCCTGGGCACCGGGGAGACGCTTCTTCCCAGCCCCCTGCAGGGAGGTCCATGAGACCCAAGGGGCCAGACACGTCACTCGGGCCTGGGAACTCAGCATGGGTGCCCCCTTCATGCTCACTCTTTCCCCACCCTGACACACTTCGAGTCCAAATGCTGAGATGGCAGAGCTCTAAATGGAGGGAACCAGACAGGGACCACCCCTACCATCCCCCACTCGACTTCACGTAAGAAGTGACCCTGTGCGAGTTAACCCACTGGGATTGCTGGGTTTATAAACGTTCACAACATGGCCTAGCTGCTCCTGAGTGTACCATACGAACAAACTGAAGGAAGAATACCATATAATCACCTCGGCAGTCAGAAAGGCCTTTGTTAGAAATGCGACACCCATAATTTTCATTTAAAACTCTTAGAAATCAAAAACTTCCTTAATTGATAAAAGTCACCTTCCAGAAATTCCATGCAAACGTTATACTTAATGTTAAAATACTCAGAGCATTTCCGTTAAAATCGGAACAAATTAAGGACCCTGCTGTCACTTTGTCCATCGCTCTATTGGAGATTCTAGCCAACACAGCAGGAAAAGGAAAAAACGAGATTACTAAGAAAAAGCTACCAGGCTGGGTGGCTGGCTGGGACAGTAGAGCGTGTGACTCTTCATCTCATGGTCTTGACTTCAAGTCCCATGTTGGACTTTTAAAAAGAAAGAAAGAAACTTAGGGGCGCCTGGGTGGCTCAGTTAAGCATTCAACTCTTGATTTCAGCTCCGGTCATGATCTCAGGGTCTTGAGACTCAAGTCCTTCATTGGGCTCCACACTGAGCATGGAGCCTGCTTGGGATTCTCTCTCTCTGCCTGCCCACCCCCAACTTGTGCACTGTCTCTCTAAAAAATAATAATAAAAAAGGAATCCTTGAAGGTAAGTAGCTGTGCAGTCAGGAAAAAAAAATTGATTATGTTCCAATATACAACCAACAACTAAAAACCAATTCTTGAAGGCTCCCACTTATGCTGGCATCATAAGCCTTAAGTGAAACCATTAACCTCCAAAAAAGAGGATGTAGCAATTGTAAATACTTTTGTACCAACACAGGAACACCTTTATACACAGCAAATATTAATAGACCTAGAGGGGGAAAAGGACAGCAATAGAATAATAAAGGACTTAAGTGTGCCACTCACATCAGTGGACAGATCATCCAAACAGAAAATCAACAAGGAACTGTCTGCCTTAAAGGACACATTAGACTGGATGGACTTGATGGAACATTCCATCCCAAAGCAACAGAATACACATCCCCAAACACACATGGAGCCTCCCCCAAGGAACATACATGTCAGGCCACAAAACGAGTCTTAATGAGTTTAAGAAGTCTGACATCATATGAAGCGTCTTTCCTAACCAGAATGATATGAAACCAGAAATCAGTTACAAAAAGAAAACTGGACAAGCGTTACGTGGAGAGTGAGCAACCAGTGGGTCAAAGGAGACATCAGAATACCTTGAACAGGGCGCCTGGGCGGCTCAGTCACTTGAGCGACTGCCTTTGCCTCAGGTCGTGATCCCGCATCCGGCTCCCTGCTGAGCAGGGCATCTGCTTCTCCCTCTGACCCGCCCCCCTCTCATGCACTCAGTCTCTCATTCTCATTCTCTCTCTCTCAAAATCTTAAAGAAAAGAAAATACTTTGAACAGGGCACTAGGTGGCTCAGTCGGTTAAGTGTCTACCTTTGGCTCAAGTCATGATCCTGGAGGAGCCCCCAGGATCGAGTCCCGTGCGGGGCTCCCTGCTCAGTGGGGACCCTGCTTCTTCCTCTGACCCTCCACCCCATGCTGTCTCTCTTATTCTCTCTCAAATAAATCTTAAAAAAAAAAAAAAAAAAAAAAAACCTTCAACAAATGAAAATGGAAACACAACGTACCGAACATACAGAGTGCTGTAAAAGCAGTTCTAAGGGGGAAGGTGATGGGAGAAAAGTAAGATAAACAACCTGATTTGTGAACAACCTCGGCAATTAGGAAAAGAACAAATGAAGCCCAAAGCTAGGAGAAGGAAGGACATAACAAAGATGGGAAATAGAGACTAAAAAGAAACAAAATGAACAAATCTGTAGCTAGACTCCCCAAGAGACTACTCAGAAATGAAAATGATGTTACAACTAAAAAGGGGAGAGGAGGGGCATCTGGCTGGCTCAGTCAGCAGAACATGGGACTTTGGATCTCAGGGTCATGAGTTCAAGCCCCACATTGGGCTTAGAGCTTACTTAAAAAGATAAAAATTGATGTTACAACAGATACCACAGAAATACAAAGAATCATAAAGAGACTACTATGAACAATTATGTAACAATGACCGGGCAACCTGGAAGAGATAACGAAGTCCTACAAACATATAAGACAGAATTGTGAAAATACAACAAAACCGACAGACCAGTGAGTGGAGGAGACAGAGTCCGTCCATCAAGAACCTCCCAACAAACCGAAGTTCAGAAGCACGTGGCCTCACTGGTGAATTCTACCAAACAGCCGTCCTCCTCTAACACTTCCACAAACAGAAGCAGAGGGAACATGTCCACACTCCGCTGACGAGGCCAGCGTCCCCCTGATAGCAAAACCAGACGAGGATGCCACAGAAGAGAAAAATCACAGGCCGGGGCGCCTGGGTGGCTCAGTCAGTTACGGGTCTGCCTTCAGCTCAGGTTGTGACCCCAGAGTCCTGGGATCGAGCCCCACATCGGGCTCCCTGCTCAGCGGGGAGCCTGCGTCCTCTGCCTGCCGCTCCCTGGCTTGAGTGTGCTCGCTCTGTCAAATAAATAAAATCTTAAGAGAAAAGAAAATCACAGCCAACAGCCTTGATTGACACAAATGCAAACATCCTCAGTAAATGAGAGCAAACCAAATTCAACAATACATTAAAAGGGTCGTGCGCATGATGACCCAAGTGGAATGGGATTGCAGGGGTGGTTCAGCGTACACAAGAATTAGGGTGATCCACTCACTACACTAACAAAAGGAAGGAAGAAAGTCATAGAATCATCCCAACAGATGCAGAAAAAGTGACAGAAGTCAACATCCATTTATGATAAAAACTCAACAAAGTGGGTGTAGAGGGAACACACCTCAGTATAAGAAAGGCCACCAACTCGGACAAGTCCACACCTGGCTGCATTCTCACTGGTGAAAAGCTGAGTCTTCCCTCCAAGCTCGGGAACAAGCCAAGGGTA